TTGGCCTAGTCTCCTCCTCATTCCCCCCCTCCAACCAGTAGTCTGAAGGCAGCTCCCTAGAGAGGACAGGAAGTCCATCAAGGTTGTGAGGAGATCTGCCCCAGAATGCTGCAAGAGGGAGAGCCACTTCCTGGGCGGGAAGGCCTGTTTGATAGAGTGGAGCTTTTGGGAGGGAAGCCAGTCTATCAGAATGGAGGTCGGTCTGTCAGAAGTCTAAAGCCAGTCAGGCTGTCGGCTGGTCTGCAGGAGGCGGAGGCCATGCTGGGAGTTGGGCTAATCTAACCTTCTCCAGTGAAAGCAAGTCGTGTGCCTGCCCAGCAGACCATCTAGACAGGGTATGTGTAGAGAAGGGAGAGATGGAGCGGTTTTGTCACCTTTATTTTGATTCTTCAGTTCACTGTTAATATGCCTGTATATAGTTGAGTGGTTCCAAAATAAATCCTTTTACTGTTGACATTGAGAAGTCCCTCTGTACCGCATAGTTCCCCCAGCTGCTTGGACACGCTAGGAGTGGGTTGGGGACTCCCTGAGAACAAGGGCAAAATGGCCAGTTGCCAACTCTCCAGGGGAGCCCCAAAGATTGCCAGGAAGCCCCGAGGTGGGTTCCTAGCGACATCAGAGGGAGGTTAGGAGGCTGTCCCGCCTAACCAGAGCCCAAGACAGGGACAGTGGTGGCAGCAATACCTGGAGGCAGTGGTAAAAAACTGCCCCTTCAGGTGCCAGGTCAGGCAAAGGAGGGGTGGGCAGAGCGGGGCTGGCCAGCTGACGCGGGCCCGTTCCGCCACAAGCATCATAAAAAAGCATCATAAAAACAATTGCAGCCTTTAAAAAGTGAGTTACCTGGCACTGAATTTAGAAAGCATTTGTGAATGCAGCAATGAAGTCTGGGATGGGGGGGGCTCTTGCCTTGAAAGTGCAATGGGGTCACTGTGGGTCCAATGCAACTCCACGGCGCTCCTTTCCTGCCCACTCTTACCTTGCCCTCCCGACCAGCAGCCAAGCCCTTTGCACATGCTGGGGCTGAGGGCAGAGCCAGCTGTGCGCTAGCTCAGGCCCCCCCCCCCCGTGCTTTCTCTGTACTCCCAGGGAACCAGGCAAGAGAGGGAAACGCTGCAGTGAAGGGCATGGAGTGGCGGCAGCTGTACGCTTCGCGGAGAGGGAAGGGGAGAGTCTGACATCCACCAGGAAGGAGGGCTAAGCACATCTGAGGGGGGCTTAGCCCCACCCCCACCCAGCTATGTCCTTGGTTACATTGTGGACTTGGACCACCCTTGAAAAAATTCTTGATGTTTATTTGTAGAGGTCAAGCATGCTATTCATAAAATAGCTGGCTAGCTACACCCATTTCAAGGTGGTCCATGTTCTCTTGGATCCAGGGATGTTAAGTTCTGGGAAATTCTGAAGCCATGAGATCAGGCTAGCCTGGGCTATCCCGATCAAGGAGCAGCTTTACTGCTGTTGCCAAAATTATTCGCACTGCAACAACATACCCTTGAAAATATATTGTGCCTACAATATATATACAAAGTATTTTCTAGTGCTGTAGGCAATGTACAGCAAAAACATTATGTAAAACAGAATTAAATCCTGTCTTACATACTGTACATGATTTTTTCCAGAGCTCCTCCAAATTTCCTTAATTTTCCAAAAACTGAACAAAGCCCTCAAAAAAAAAATTGTGGGCCTTCACACCTCCTCTTGTAGATCAGACATAAGAGCAGCTCTGCTGGATCAGACCAATGGTCCATCTAGTCCAGCATCCTGTTTCACACAGTGGCCAACCAGTTCCCCTTGACAGCCATCTATAGGGCATAGAGGCCAAGGCTTTCCCCTGATTTTGCCTCCTGGCTCTGGGATTCAGAGGCTCAATGCCTCTGAATGTGGAAGTTCCCTCAGTCACCATGGCTAGTAGCCATTGATAGACATCCTCCATGAATCTACGTAATCCCCATGATGAGGTTTCAAATTCAGTGTCTACCCCAAACCTAACTAGGGAAAAAAATATCTTCTATAAAGTTACTAGATGTAACCCGAAAGTCAATTAAATGTAATTGAGGAGAGGAAAGCCTGTCAAAAGCACACTACTAAGAAAGTAGAGAGTAAATCCAGCCTATTAACTTCAGCCACAGGATTTTGAATAATGGGCACAGTAATAGTCTCCAACTGTATACGATAAAAATCAAGAGCTGGAATACACAAACTAGCACTATTGTGAGGACAAGATATCAGGCGTTTTAAAAGCAGTGGGGAATACAAAATCCCACAGGGCGTGTTAGAACTGGAACTCTGGATCCCACCCACAATGGAGGGCATGGTGGATATGTTCCAACAGAGTGGGCTTGTGGAGGAACTTATTCCTGGGAGCAAGAGAAGAAAGAGTTGCGACCAAAGTATGCAAAGCTATAATTCAAGAGATGGGCTCACTATCTACTTAAGCTTTACAGTCAGGGTCACTGGCAGTAGCAGCACGTGAATTCTAAAGAACTACACACTACAGAGACATTAGGGGAAGCTGCAACTGTTAACTTACCTGATGACAACTTCATTTGTATTGTCCAGTTCCACTACCAACACTGACGCTGATGTTTCTGATGGGACAATTAAAGGTGGCACGGTTATATTTTCCAAACTCTCCTCTTGGGCTTCCTGGGCTATCGCAGAAGCCTCTTGCTCCGCCATTCGCTTCAGGTCTTCGTGTACATGGCTTTTGCCAGTCACATTCGGATTCTCGGCGCTCTGTTTTGATTTTGCATAGAGGATTGCCTTTTTAGGGTTGCCGGAGACATAGTCTATACTGCAGACATCTGACAGGGAGTCAAGATGGCTCAGGACGTCTTGGGGAAACGTTGCTTTGTAGGTGTCTTCATACACCTTTGGGAGCGCGTTAGCCCAAAGACCGCTAGAATAGTTTAACAGAATGGCTGCAATTTTTTGCTTGAAGTCCCCGTGGGACACGGCGGCACCCTTGTTGTGCGCAGGCGCTTCGATTAACAAGGACTGAGACTTTCCTTCCTGGCTTGAGATACCCTTTGCTGGAAGAGGTGTTTTAGGTGCGGGAAAGAGAAGGACATTCCTCTGGCCTCCAGACCACACCACCTGTGCCTTGGGGAGAAGAGGAGGGAGAATGACGAACAGTCGGATACAGGAACCTGCCGTTGTTTGAACCTAAGATTCGCTTCGAATCACCCAAAGCAGCACATGTGGTGGGGTCATTTCACTCCCACCCATTCCACTTTCCTGAGAGTTTCTTTAAGACTGTGCACACAACCACCACGCTGTGCGAAGCGACTCCGACCCTTGCAAACAAAAACAAAACAGATTCATGCAAAATAGCTTAGTTTGCACATTTTACTCTAATGGTGGGGGTGGAAAGTACCGTCAAGTCACAGCTGGCTCACAGTGACTCTGTAGGTTTTTCAAGGCAAGAGACTAATAGAGGTAGTTTAGCCGTTGCCTGCCTCTGTGTTGCGACCCTGGTATTGCCTTGGTGGCCTCCCCTCCAAATACTAACCAGGGCCAACCCTCCTTAGCTTCTGAGATCTGATGAGACTGGGCTAGCCTGGGCTATCCAGGTCAGAGTTATTCTACTACCTTCTAGTTATAGATTTCTGGATTCAGTACAGAAGTATCAACCTCATGGGGACTATTAAGAAAGGTCAGCAAGTCTACACTGGTATCACACACTCGACCGCAGACTCTCGTGGGGTTTTTTAAAAGCCATTTACTCCCTTCAAACAGTGGTCTCCATTTCCTCCCATCATCAGCTTGATGCTTTTCACGCTAGTATATATTTGAGTACAGTGATCAGGTATGATTGAAAATAACAAGGATACCCAGGCTACAAACTTAAGCACGCTTGGAAGTGTTATTCAAGATCATTTATTTAGGACAGATAGTGATTAAAATGTGGAATTCGCTGCCAGAGGATGTAGTGATGGCCACAGACGTCAACAGCTTTAACAGGGGATTAGACAGATTCGTGGAAGATAAGTCTATCAGTGGCTACTAGCCATGGTGACTGAGGGGAACCTCCATGTTCAGAGGGACTATACCTCTGAATCCCAGAGCCAGGAAGCAACATCAGGAGAAGGTCTCAACCTCATTGCCCTGTTGTTCATCCTCCAGAGGAACCGGTTGGCCAGTGTCAGAGAGACAGGATGCTGGACTAGGTGGACAACTTAGTCTGATCCAGCAGGGCTCTTCTTATTGTGGCAAGTTGCCTGTGTTTTTATGAACAAACCCCACCCAACACAAGCAACAATTACATTATGATTACAATACTGGCGTGCAATTGGATGCGGCTGACTTGATACAATGTCCAATATTTTCTATCTTGGATCCAACTGGCAATATCCAATATTGTGAAAGCCTTTCCCATTATTTCCCCAATTCCAATATTTTTCTCCCTATCCTGGAAATATTCAGAATCGTCTCAGGAAGATTCTCGCTCTCCACAGCTGGTCTGAGGGGCAATGGCCCTTATTTTTAGTGGCACAACTTGACTGCTGAAGAACAGAGGCCAGGTCTACCCCCAATGGTTTCATTAACACCACTCTTGATATTTAATGAACATGATAATGCTCTTTCCAGATTTCCAGTAAGTAATTAAAATGGTGATTTTGCCAGTGTACACCCCCCGTGATTATGACTAAGGGAAACAAAACTATTTAAATACATTCCACCGATGCTTCTGCCGAGGTCAGGATGTAAACATTTAGCACAAATGCCAAATTTGCAACAACTGTCCAAAACCATAACAATTTACTGATCCCACCTTTGCTGTGCCAGCTGTGAGGTCTGCATTTCTAATCAGGAATTGGTAAACGGAAGACAGACTCTACCATTTTTAAGCAGTGCACATAAATACAAGCAAGATGAAAAATGCCCTGCTATAGATTTTAACCTGCTGCTACCCTGGGTTACGCAGCAACATTTGTTACACAGGTATCTGTAAAAAAAAGAGTTGATACCTACTACACAAACGTGAGGCCAGTATTCTAACTGGGGCAGCAAGGCTGGATTGAAGTCCTCCTTATACAGCTCTCTGTACAGATGCGGTATCTTCGATAGCCATACGCCACTGCTGAATCTGTTCAATATTTCTTTAATTCTTTTCTGAATCTCAATTATGTTGATACTTGGACAAGCAGGAACAGCCTGTATTACTCGCCTTATTTCGTTTGCGTTTGTATTTACTGCAAAGAAAGAAAGCATGCATTTTAAGGCTGCATTCAGACATTGCTTTTAACCAGAATTAAAGTCAGGCTTTGTCTGCAAGCCGGGATAGTGCACACGCCTCTCTCTCTCTCTTTCCTTGTGCAAATAATCCCATTTAGATACTAATTCCAAGCATCCGTTATGTACAGACTTTCAGGTTCACTAGAACTATCTTGCTCCTCACAAACCAGATTTTAACACAGGCTTAGAATCTAGGGTGGGGAATGCACCAGCTCAGCAAGAAGCCAGGCCTGCACATATACAATACAAGAACTCGTGGGCACTCCATGAAATTGCTGAGCAGTTGGGTTAGAACAGATAAAAGGAAGTACTTCTTCACCCAAAGAGTGATTAACACACGGAATTCACTGCCACAGGAGGTGGTGGCGGCTACAAGCATGGACGGCTTCAAGAGGGAACTGGATAAACATATGGAGCAGAGGTCCATCAGTGGCTATTAGCCACAAGGTATAGATAGGAACTCTGGGGCAAGTAATGCTCTGTATTCTTGGTGCTTGAGGGGGTCAACAGTGGGAGGGCTTCTAGTGTCCTGGCCCCACTGATGGACCTCCTGATGGCACCTGGTATTTCTGGCCACTGTGTGACAGAGTGTTGGACTAGATGGGCCATTGGCCTGATCCAACACTGGCTTCTCTTATGTTCTTATATCCCAATTTACTATCAGAAATGCATTCTGAACTCAGCCTATGATGCGGTTACACTGTTGTTCTGACACTGGCAACCTGTAGCTCCCAACTTCTTCCCTTTCCTGCAATCTCTGCAGGTTCTTACCAGAATCCTCAAGCCCAGCAACTTCTTCTTGAAAATAAGTTATGTTAAAAAAAACGCCAATGAAAATATTCAGTGGGCAAATTAAAGGATTAATTTTTCTGCTACTCAGGTGTTTATACAAACCAGAGCACCACTCGACTGTTCAGACCTTACGTGACTGTTGCTGAGAAGTGCGTGTGAGGCTCTGACAGTGCAACATACCGTTCAAGTCACACAGGTTTCTTGACAGATGCACCTGAAGCTCCTTCTGAAATTGCGGCGGAAGGACTAGTCTTTTTTCAGGTCTTCAAACAAAGAGAAAAAGAAAGGAAGGAAGAGATGCAATGAACTCCTGTCATCTGACTTTCACTCTGAGGTACCAGCCAGCTACGTTCAAGATGAAGCCAGTAGAGCAGGGATCCCCAACGGGTGCTATGGCGTCTGCTGACACATTTCCTGATGCCCACCCAGTATTTTCAGAAAATGGATGAGGTAGGGCTTCGGGTGGGCGGCTGGAGAGTTGACTGGCAGTGCATTTTTTTTTTAAGTTGCTCTGGCAGAAGATTTCATTACGGCACAAGGATCTTCACTGAGTGACTAAAGGTAAGCTGTGCATATGCAAGACACATTTTTAAACAATACATTCATTTAAAAAGGCGTCCAGTTAAACAGAGCTTCTGCCTGAAATGTTGAAGAGTTACTATCAGAAGGATGCATATCACTCTCTGACATTTTATGGTATTGCTCCCTCCTCTGGCAGCAACATTGGGTCAAAATCTCAAAGGTGCCTGCGGGCTCAAAGAAACTGGGAATCCCCGCAGTAGTGACTGTCTGTGCTGAAGCCTTCTATGTTCATGTCAAACTTACAGGCAAACAGTCTATGATGCAAGGGGACTTTTTACTCCACAGGAAAATGTGACACAGGAACATCAAAGACTCATGAGTTCTACAAGCCAGAACAGTGAGGTATGCTGATTGCTGCATCTCCTTTCTCTTTCAAACCCTATGTTGATTTGGCATAACGATATTTATCACACACAGAACAGTTACAGTGGTGCAGGTCTTTGATGCAAAAATCAAAGAGCCTCGCTTCAGTCACAGTCTTCCTTTTTATATATGCCCTCACAGCAGAAGCAATGACAAAAGCTAGCAAGGTAGGACCTTGCCACATTGATCCATGCAACGGTCACCTCCCGACTGGACTACTGCAATTTGCTTTATGTAGGGCTACCCTTGAAAACGCTTCAGAGACTGCAGGTGGTCTAGAATGCAGCTGCCAGGTTGGTGACTGGAACATCATGGTCAGCTTATATTATTCAAATCTGTGGCCACTGCAATAGCTACCAATTAGTCTCTGGATCCACTTCACGGTCAAAGCCCTTAACAGTCTGGGACCCTCATACCTATGGGACCACCTCTCCCGTTACAACCCCGTGCTCCATTTGGTCATCATCTAGGGGCCTCTTGTAGGTGCCTGGCCCCAGGATGGCTCAGTTAGCTATCACCAGGGGAAGGGCCTTATCAGTTGTGGCCCCTACCCTGTGGAATGCACTCTCAGGTGACACCCGTGTCCTGCCAGACTTGGTTTAGTTTCCACAGAGAATGCAAAGCTGAATTGTTTAGACTGGTCTTTGGAGGGTGACCATGAGTTTGGGCTGTTTTAATGGTGGTATGGTGATAGCCACATATTTTTACATTGTTAATATTTTATATTTGTTTTATGTTTTTTCCTTATTGGTTTTAATGTTAAGTTGCCACAAGACTCTTTGGGTGAGTGACAACCGAAAAATCAAATCAAGTAAATAAATAGATAAAAAATAAGGTGAGAATAAATTCCAATCAATTTTGATTGGCTTATTATCCACAAGGTTACTTCCCTGGGAGATGTTTAAGCCAGAATGAAGTGTTTGGCTGTGCCCAATATTTTTACCTTCCAGAGACTGTATTTCATTACAAAATTTAAGCGAACATTTTACAATTTTTATAGCCAACTTTAACAAATTGACTGTCCTGCTGTAGTAAAGGTGGCTGTGAATGGGGAGTTCGCCATACAAACTCACCACTAGATGGCTCTATTTTGCATATTTCAATTTACTGGTTTTTTTAAAAGTAGCCAATACAGCCAACCCTTAATCACTCAGGGAGGGGGGGGGGTAGTTCCCTTTCACGCGACGGCTAGCTGCGGCTTATCATGTTCCGCCCAGAAGCTTCTTCAAAAAGTGGAACCTTATGATCACTTGTTTCCAGATCCAGGCTTAAACAATATTCAGAAATTGGCATACAGCAAGCAGCATACAGCAATATTGTTTAAGCGTGGATCTGGAAGCAAGTGATCATAAGGTTCCACTTTTTGAAGAAGCTTCTGGGCGGAACATGATAAGCCGCAGCTAGCCGTCGCGTGAAAGGGAACTACTGGAACCTTTGACTGGAATCATTTTTCTCGTGTTTCCTGGGTGAACACTGAAGATTGATGTTACAGCTGTTTATTCATTCAGCCTTATTTTGTACGGATATTTCTACTGTGATTCTGGATTAGATATCTTGAGACGATAAAACATTCCTATTGTATAAATGCTACCTTTCTGAAGATTTTTGGTGAATTATTTTGTACACAGTTTCGTTCATACTGCCTTTCAGTTCCAATAGCTTCATCTATACATGTGGCAGAATGAGATGGTACAGCGGACTTAAGTGCTTCAGACTGCATACAGATGGGGGAATACCATTTTTAAATGTTGCCTTGCGTAAATAAATCCATGGAAGCAAAAAGGAGGCACAATGAGACTGTACTGTCTCTGGTGTGCTTATTTTCAATGTACGTGAATAATTTTGTGTGAGAACATTAAAAAGTCATTCTCCCCCCCGCCCCCATCTAAAATGGGGAGAGTCCATTCTAATAAGTCATTCTGCTAGATGAACTGACAGTTGAGGCCAAACTGTGGAAAATGGAAGACAGACATCTGGGAACATTGGCCAAGAAAAGACAAGTCACCCTTCAGTCTTTCTAGTTGTGTGACATTAGGTACCTATTCAGCATCCCTCTCCAATGTCATTATGCCTGCACTCATTCTCATACCAAATCCAAATGTGTGTGTTTCGCTCTTTTTAATAGATCTAACTATTCCACACAATGCCACACAACGATGTATTCTCCCATGACGGCTCCCCCACTTTTAAAAACTGTATTTCCCAGGAAAGTGCTAACGCATTGTTCGGCATGCTGTTTTCCCCTGGTGGCATCCTCTGCTACTTCAAGTCAATGCTCAATTACAACAAGCCACAGATGCACAACAGGGGGGATTATCAAGGCAATCGGAGCTATTCCGAGAGGCTTAGGCTAACCACAGTGATGGGCCAGTGAGGCCATTATCTGAATCATGATTTGATGACCCAGTACAGCAACAAACAATACAGGAAGAAAAGTGATGGTGCAGCAGCTGAGCTTGCCAACCTGGAGATCAGTTGAAGGGCCGGGGGGGGGGGGGGGGCGGAGGCTGCAACATCAAACTCTCCTCTGTTTTCATTCTGATCGTGTGGCCGAATTATTTGAGAGAAAATGGTACTGTAAAACAGATTATAGACATCCAAGAAGCCTATCTACGCTCAGCTTTGCAAGTACATTTTACTAGCTCTTTCACTGGCAGTAATGGGAACAGACACGCAAAAGGAGACTTGGCAAGGCTTTGTCACCTGGCTGTGAATTTCTATAGCTATTTACAAGTAAGCTGGAGCCTGATACAGTTGGAACCATCATGATAAACTCACAAAGCTTAGCACCCGATTGGCCTGCAGTTACCCCCCGTGAAATAAAATCTTTAGTATCTGCAATTAGCAACAACCAGGCTCCTGGGGGGAAATCATATTTCCCCCTGATATGCTTAATGCTTTTCAGGATTGGTGGGCACCAGTTCCAGCTAATTTGTTCACCCATATCGATAGAATGGGTAAATTCCCTCAGGAATGGACTTTCTCTATTGTTATATCCGTCTATAAGAAGTGGAAACGAAGAGATCCAGCTAACTATAGGCCAATAAAGCTTACTTGACATTATAGGAAAACCTCATGCAAGGCGCCTCTTATTAAAACTAGAGGCGTGGATGTCTGAAAGAGATTTGCTGGTTCCAGAGCAAACTGCATGTAGGCCAGGACATTCAATCTTCCTTTCCTTTCATTTATTAGCTTCACTGACCAGAGGTCTTAAGCCAAGCGTACAAACAGCTACTATAAAACACATTACATACAATCACAACATAATTTAGACCAAACATTTTTACAATAAAAACTAACATACTCATAAACAATATTAATAAACATTTTATAAATTTCCCAAATTTCTATAAAATCCCATGATATTATGGAAATTGGTTTTAAAACTTTACCTACAGCATTTCAAAGCCACTTTAAAAATAGCACTATTGATAGATATTTTGCCACCAAACGAGTTGTTTCAGGGTCCTCATCTGCTAGCCAATAAGGTTATCACCCAAGGTTCCATAGGAAGGTGATGTCTATGTAAAATAGGAGTAATCCAACAGGATCTGGGGGACAGTCAGTCTTAGATCACTGCCTCCTATTACAATACTTTATTAACAAATACGTGAATGGACTATCTAGACAACTATATGTTGCATTCATTGATCTTAAAGCAGCTTTCAATTCTATCCCAAGGGAGTGCCTTTGGGGTAAACCGAGTACTTTGAATATTGAGGATAGGTTACCAGAACATATTAAAGGACTTTATACCAATACAACTCTTAAGGATAGACTAGGTAATTCACGGCCAGTTGTCTACTCCTGTTGCAGCTTCAAAAGGAGTGCACCAGGGTTGTACCCTCTGATTTTCAATCTTTATATAAATGATATTGTTGACTATCTTTCAGGAGCACAATTTTTCCCACTTAGGCTCGGTAAGACACCCATTTCAATACTTCTTTACGCTGATGATAATTTTGTTATATCCCATACACAAGCTGGCCTCAGAAGGTTGCTGAAACAGTTTATCCTTTACTGTAGAAATGATTTATTACATGTAAATTACGACAAAACAAGGATCATGTTCTTTAGTAGAAGGACCCATCTCCACAACTGGACAATGGATGGGGTCCTACTAGAGCAGGTGATCTCTTTCAAATATCTACGGTTAATCTTCCATAATTCTGGGTTTTGGTCAGTGCAAATTGAACATGCAAAGCAGAATTTCGAAAAGGTCATGTTCGGTATCCTCAGATTTTATAGAACAAGAGGAAGCCGATTAGTGTGTGTGTGAAATTTACAAAACAAAGGTACTTTCCTAGTTATTATACAGAGCACCAATCTGGGGATTTGGAAATTTGTACCCACTTCAAGTTATTCAGAATAAACCTAATAACCCTAATGTTATTAGCAGTCCCAAATTCAACAGCATTAGCTATAGTTCGACCGGAGTTGTCCTTGGCTCCAATATCAACTCTAGACCTCAAAGTTGTCATTAATTTTGGCTGAAAATCCTTTTCTGCCCACTTCCAAATTTTTTAATCGTGGCTTATGACTAGATGAAATTTAACTCATGGAGAAGTCACGTATTAAACGCAGTAGCCAAACTTGGTTTCTCAGAAGAATATCTAAGGCAAGGGTTTTTGCAGACAAACAGTTAATAAAACAAAGGCTGTTGGATATAAGTGCTCAAGTTGATGATGCGCTATTAGGCACCTCGAGAGCAGCCTCCCTTCCAATAAATCCTCCAGCTTATTTTACTGATCTACTAAATTTGAGCACAAGAAGGCCTTTACTAAGGCATGACTGGATATCTTACCATTAGCAATGTTAAGAGGTCGTTACAACAATATCTCATATAATGAGTGAGTCTGCTCTTGTGACCAGAGATCAGTCAAGGACTTGGCCCATGTGGGTTTTTTTGGTGCTCAAGATTTGCAATGGATTGTGAACAATACCCCGGGAACATTTTTACAAGACATCCCGGATGATCACATTGGTCCAAACCTGTAATATTACTCGCAGACTGAAATAAATGGGTCACGTTACAAAAGGCAAAATTTGCTGCCTTCGTTATAAAGATGCGGTCAAAACCCTCTGATGCCAGTGTGGTCGATTCGTGTTTGTTAATTATATATTATGCTTTTAGATTTTAATAGATATTTTAAGGGTTCTAATATGTATTGTGATTGTTTTATGCTATGCTGCACTGTTTTTCTTAATGATGTCTGCTATGGCTGTGAGCTAACAGAATAAACTTGACTTCTATTTACAAGCACTGCCAAAAAGAGAGATGATTCTATCAACCATCCCCCACCAGCTATCAGTTCCCTGACGATGCACTTTTTAAATGGAAAAAAACCACCCTGAAAACTCTCAATTAAGCATCTTGTTCAACTGCTTTCTGAAAGAAGACTTCAACTATAAATTGCACACAATACCCTTTTGTAACGGCTGAACAACAACACAACAGAACACGGACAACAATCCAACTGAAAATACAATAACCAGCTGTTTTTTATTTTTTTCAGTGAGACATCATCCTGCTATTTTGTGTTTGCTTCTTCTTTAGGGTATAACTTTATACTACCCACACTCTATACCCAACGGAATCAGTAGAGCTTTCTATCTAGGATTTGAGTCAAGAGGCCTTAAAAGCATAGCTTGAAAGAATTCTGAGAAATCAGATCTTAAATCAAAGGGATTGCGTGGGTTTTGGATTTTGCTGTGGACTTTATGAACTAGAACTATTTCATCATTTTTAGGCACAGAAGTATTTCCCCCCCTATTTATACATTCCTTCCCTTTCATCATCTTTTACACTGCAGTAATAACACTGCAGAGATGGGACAGGGTTCTCTCATTAACTGTAGGATTCAACCCATGAAACAGAAGACAGAAAATATATCTCGATACATCGCCTGCTAAAACGTACAAAAACAAAAATGGAAGCCAAAAAGGAAAAGATGCGTTCATTGCCCAAACAGTTTAAAAGTATGAGTCCAGTCGTACTTTTAAAACCAACGAAATTTTAGTCAAGGTATAAGCTTTTGTGTGCATGCATGCTTCTTCAGATGCTTCTTCGTGTGCATGGACACGAAAGCTTATACCCAGAATAAAACTTTGTTGGTCTTCGAGGTGCCACTGGACTCAGCTTTGTTCTGCTGCTTCAGACCAACACGGCTGCCCACCTGGGTTTAAAAGTATTTTAGCTTCTCACTGAGATCTGTATTCAGCACATTCTTCATGCAACCAGAGGGCAGCTTCCTCCCCAGCTGCAACTGTAGAGTGCAACGTCAACCACTTTATACTCAGCAAATTTCTTAACCAAACTCTAACCTGTTCATCACCGTCATGTGTCCTTGTATTAAGACTTCTCTTGGTTCAGAGCTCCTCAGTGCTGGGGACAGAGGGTATGGTGTGCCACTCATACTAGGTCTAATGACGCCATGGCTCCCCCTGCTTTGCGGGAGCATAGGCCTCTCGCTATCTTCACCTGGATTCATAAATCCAGGCTTCCTCAGAGTACATTTCGGTTTGCCTGTAAGACAACAGAATGCAAGAAGCCTGTCTCATCTTCAGTTTACTTATGTTATTTCAACAGACTTTCTCAGTAGCACCAGAAAGATAAGGCAACAATGCAACTAGCCAGCCTATTTAGGCTGTGTGAGTGTGTCAAGTGCCATCAAGTCACTTCTGACGCATGGTGACTCCAAAAGGTACTATTGTTAACAGCCTTGCTCGGGTCTTGCAAACTGAGGGCCGTGGCTTCCTTGACTGAGCCAATCCATCTCCTGTTGGGC